CGTCCGAAAACGATAATTACGAAAATTGTTATCGATGTACTGATTTTTACAAAATATTTTGTAATTCAATAGAAAATTATATTTCTACGTATTCAAAGCACATAATTTCCGAACTAAATATTCAAGATTACATGATTAATGCATTTTTTACATAAATAAGGCTAACCATAAAAATTGCTATTTGATCGATAATTTATTTATATTATCCGACACCACGCAATTCTATTCTTATATAAAAAACCGTTATTTAACATTGACTGCTCATTAAAAGTGAAAGAACGGTAATGACAGTGATTGAAGCCGATATTGAAAATACGTTACCATATATACAGCGTGGGTTCCAGAAAACTGACATTATGATGGTGAAAATTAAAGAAAGCGGTATTTTTCCTTCAAGCGTTTCTCTACAACATTGTTCATTCGATGTGATATAATTGTTTTGAAAATAAATCTTAAACGTCCGAAAAATGCGCGTCGGTGTAATATGTTGCGAAGTGACCCTTTAACGATAAAATGCCTTGTCCATGCGGCATTTTCCGCAACATTTAATATCTTCTGTACGCGTTCGCAAATGCACAGCAGCAGATCTGGAATCTGGTTTCGAAAACGTTGTTATTTGCTTTTGCCAATCTGCCAAACATTTTATAAATTCCAGATATACATATTCCCCCTAAAGAATTTCAATATTGTGTGGGGTTAAAAAATATATCCGTTAATTAAAAGTATTTAATAACATTATATCGCATTGGATCGTTGTAATTCAAATTTTTGGTATCTGTCTAAATGAACAGAAGGTTGCGATTACGTCGTCAATTCACTTTTTTTTATGCTTAACCCATTTTGTCCCAGTGGTGCGTGAATGCACCACCTATTCTATGATTTTTTTGTCACATCCTGGAAATATTTTTGCACATCAATTTAGAAATTTTATTATTATTACTACTAAAGATCATAAAACCGTAGAAATTGCTAATTTATGTGTAAAGGAAAGATCTTTAAGTTAACAAAAGTGGTATATAAATTTGAATCAAATTTTCAAATAAATCCAAAATAGAAAAAAATATTCTGGATTTGCATTGCCATTTTTGTTAAGTCTATGGTATGTAGAAAACATACATTGAAAATACTATATTGATTATGCTTCATTTTTTCAAAATATGCACCACTGGTTTTATCTGTGAAACAAAACTTTGTTATTGCAAGTCTAGACAAGTCATGTAGAATAAAAATCCAACAATTAGCGTGTTCCTTAGTATCAGTTTGTGCCTTGTGCAGTGAACGTTACAGTTCGTAAAATATGGCATTTCCGAGGTATTTGACTCAAAAGGAACTAGAGGCGTCTATGCAGGAGATCTTGATGGATGAGTACAATATCAATGAAAGTCGTAAGTATTATTTGGATTTTCGTATTCTCACGTATTATGTATTGTAGCATTCCATTTCTTGCAAATTTATGCTAAAAATAACGTGAAAAAATATTTACAGAACATATTGACGCGGTCTATATTCCACCCGACGTAGCTGACGAAGAAGATATGAACGATAACATAAATCTACAAGAGTTTGGAGAACCAACTGATATAGTTGGAACTTTCGAATTACATACACCGAATGACACAGCTGTCCTTCAACAGTCCTGTAATTCATCAACTACTGAACCTCAACGGGACTCATCAGATGATGAAACCTTGGAATTCAAAAGAAGACGTATGCTTTCTGCAAACGACAGGCTTGCTTCTACTGTCAAATGGAAGATAGGTCAGATTGAGTGCACTCACACACCTATATCCGATCATGTGAGGAAATAAAAAATCGGCTTTCTGGAAAAACTCGACTTGAAATATTTTTTATGTTTTTTGATACGAAGTGATTGATTTGATTTTAAATGTTACATTTCTTTGCGACTTTTAAAAACTGATAAAACAATGACTCAAAGAAATCTTGCACCTGTCATAGATGAAGTGCGTCATGATAATCAAGGTCACCTCATAATGCTAATAAAGTCCGAAGGAGATGTAGAATCTGCCACAGCCAAACAATTTATGTTTGTAGTAAGTGTAATGTGCATTTACATACTTCATGCTTTGTAAAATATCACCAAAAATGAAACCGAGTGCTACCAGCAGTGCGCTCAATATTATGCGTTTTTGTATCAAACCAGGTTCTTTTTGGAAAACAATCTACTTTTAGTGGTTTTCTGTCGAATTTAAACTTTCTTTCGTATATTTATGTATAAATTATATGTTACATCTTATGTGCCCCAAAACAATATCTGATGTTTTTCCCAGTGGTTCGTTTACGCATTAGTACTTTTTTGTATGTTTCGAGTTTTTTTTTTGACACTTGTAATGTATTCTTAAGTGCAACAAAATAAATAATTTCAGAGCAAAAAAGTATTTTTTTAAATGCTTGTTATAATATGGGTTAAGACATTTTGGCCTTAAAAGATACTTTGCTCTATACTCATTAGTTGTTCGCGGAAACTAACCAAAACAAGTCCGTGTCATGAACAGCCTGATTAAAAACTTTATGATCCCTTAGTATATTATTTTATTTACTAATCAAAACTAACTTGGTTAGACAAAGTAGAATCCAGAAAGGAATCATCTCCAAGGCAAAGTGTGAGTGAAGGAGTTAGTCTAATTGACACAATTATATAAAAGTACTTGTAAATTTATAAAATTTATAAAATCAATAAAATGCTTCTTAAATTTTCCGGAAGACGTGAATTTTGATGAGATTATAAGTCCAGCCATATGATTCACCTATTTCGTCCATTTTTGAAAACAAAATTCTTTTGCTGATGAATATTAAAATCTTCTTGCGGCTTAAGGAAGCGACTGCTGTCTAAATTCCACCCTGGAGTTGTCAAAGTTTCCTGAAGAATAGATTGGTTAAAGGTTTAATGAGGTAAATCATAACTAACAAAATTGAAAACGTTGTCCCTCTCGCTCTTCTTAATGAAATGAAAAAAAGATAACTCAATATCAAAAATCTATTTCATTCAGATGACAGAGAAAGTCGTATTGAAAATTGCGGCTACCGTAAGCACTTATATAGCTACCGGGCTAAATGAAATGAAATAAATCAACTTGAAAAAATAAACCAACGAAATAAAATAAATTTTAAAAAATGAAAAGTAAAGCACATTTTACAAACTAAGAAGAAAAGTTCAAGCATTTGTGTTATTTATTTCTGGTTACTTTTAACACCCTATAAATCTGAAACGGTCTGTATCCATCTGTGAATTAAATTGATACACATTCTCAACACAGGCTCAACGATGATAATAGAAGCCTGTAATGCGACGTTTCCTATCTTGAGACGTTTTCCATTATTTTTTGACATAATCGAAAACTGTCATATGGCGACATTTTTAATCTCTTTCAATTTTTCCATGTATCAAATAAATGACTAAAGTTTGTATTGGCTTATGCTAACAAAACTAGTTTTAAAGTGATGAATATCTTACAATGTTGCCAAGTTGCGCGATTTGCAAATTCACTCATTTTGTTTAATGGCACCCCCTGAATGTTTTCCTTTCGATTTTTGAATTTAATTGAAATGTAATAGTACGGACCATCATCATCATCAGATCAGATATATTGATATATTAAAATTCTGTTACTTATCAATTGAGCTTTATGTGGCAGGTTATAAACATAGTAATTGACAATGCCTAAAACGCGTAAAAACTAGTATTGTGTTTTGGAATTTTGGCAATAATATTAAGATAGTTATCCAATGTATGATGGTTGATCATTTAGCAACGGATATTTTAGTAATTATATGTCGTTGAAATTGTCTTTCAATGGCCAAGAATTATAAAGATATTTATTATAAAGATATCTATTGTAGAGGGTTCCGTTTAAACAATCGAATAAATTTACAAAACGAAAAACGTGGCAACACTGTAATGACAGTTCTCCTTTATGTCAAAAAATGAGAAGGACACTTTGGAACTGTGTGTGACCAGAAAAAAACATGTGCTTATCTCTCTTATAACTTATCAAAATATATATGTTAATTCAAGAAACATTTGCAATAAACTTGATAATGGGTTATTTTACTTTTGCCACGCTGCGCATAAAATAGAATTATTGGTTCTATTTGCTTATTTATATTTGGATAGAAAATATGAAAAAGTTGGTTGTTATAAGCCAGCTGAACTGCTACATTGTTATTTATTTTCTATTTATGGTACTTATAAACGAGCAGCGGGAACCAACCACTAAAAAGATTTCGCTGTTCTATTTTTTTTTGCATTATTAGTTCATTAATTTTAATTGAGAGCATTGCATTGTTATTAGTTATTACTTTTCTCTATAATTTTTATTGAGATTAAGGATTATGCTATTTCTATTCTATCCACGGTGTGTCCCTGTCCTTTATCTCCAGCGCGCTGCATTCAGATCTTTCGATCAATTATTCCAGCACGTCTTGATTCCTTTCCATAGAAGAGCCCTGTACTCTCAAGGAAGACTCTTAGGAGGAGCTGACGCTTCATTTTTGCATATGAAGCTTAGCAAAAATTGAATAAATGGTAGAGTTTCGTTCTTTTTCCCCGAAGTTTAGAGTTTAGGTTATAGGAAAAATAATACCAAATGTTTCTAGTCTCTCTACAAGAGCAGGACAGAGTTTTGAACAACTTTTGAAAGCCTTGGAGATAACGAAATGAAAGGTTCAACCTATGTTTTTGTTTTATCTTCTTGTTACCGTTGTTGATTATATTTAATTGTCATTTAAAATATTACCTTCATGCGTTATTTTGCAAAAATTCATTCGTATTTCTGCTCCACATAACGCCTGAAAAATAGCGTAATACGGCCGCTATTTTTATTTATCTAATAGTTACAGGTTGATGGGTTGAAGGTGGGTTGGCTTTATTTTCGGTATCGCTTCTTGAACGCGCCAAAAATAACCGAGTTCTGAGTCGAGAAATTTTTAAAGCGAATTGAGTGCTCGTAGTCACGGCGGCACACTCCGATGCTGTTTCGCCTCGTGCCCTGCCTTTATCAAATTAATTAATTAATTGCGGCTGACTTTAACAATAGAATCGCCGTGTTGCAGTGTAAATCGAGCCGGTAACCGGTGGCGGCAATTTAGCCGACGTAAACAAAATAGCGTTTGTATGCGGGTTGGCGAAAATTCTTGCGAAATTTTATTAATAATAAGCGTTCGTGAATCCAAAAATAATCGACGGCTTCGTCCGACGTTTGTGAAAAAATTAGAATTTCGTAGTTGGATTTCGGTAAGTTCGTTAAGGGCGAGGGTAATGGGGTCGGTTAATTTAATATTTAATAAGTGGTTGTCAAATTAAATATTTTACAGTGGATTAAAATTTTCATTGCATGTGGAATAAAATATTATGAAGTGTATTATATTATGTTGAAATTTTAAGCTTCGAGGATTAAATTAAAATTTTGTATTACCTTTTGATATTTCGCAAGTTGTTTATTTAAAAATTGTTAAAATAAGTTAATTTTGGTCAACAATTAACAATCTTGAGGATTTTTAGGAGACAACTGCAAGGGCTCCATGTTCGCGATGCAGGACGTTGATAATATAAAAAAAATCTATTTTATCCTAACTTTAATTTTTTTTTAAACAAATTTATTCACTTTTAAGCATCAAAGGCAAATAAACGCATTAATTTCGAAATTCCCATTCGAGTTTGAGTAAATTATATCTTTTGCTTTTTTTCCATCACTTGATCTTGATATTGTTATTTTTGTATCCAAAGTAAATTTTTTACATTTTTTTTTTAATTAAAGTCAGTTTCTGCAGAAAGTAGTTATTATTTGTTCTTAGTAAAAGTTTAATTAAAAAACTTTCTTTTCAAACTGTAAGTGTATTAAAAACGATGCCCTTGCGGATCATTGTTCATATGAAATTTTGTTTGTTTCTTTCCTGGATTCGCCATGTTAAGTTCCATGTGACACTTATTAAAAACACCCTGTGGACACGTAATGCAAATTTGCCCCTTAACACGTCTTTTCTACTTTCATATGCAACTTTCCGAAGTTGTTTGTCATGTTGACCTATTAAATGATCCAGGCTTTCACAGCGAAAATTTATATTTTCTCCGCTTTGTTGCATTCAATTTTTTCTAACACAATCTTTGGAATTCTTCATGTTAGGGATTAAATTTAATTTAAGATGAAATATTTTGGCCATTGCACCTCGTCTAATTTTATTTTGTCATCATTCCAATCGTAATTTAGTAATTGTTTACAACTTAATTCCATAATTGACAAATCAATACATTATTCATCGTCAAATAGGCAAGCCATTTCAGTTTCTGCCGTAAGTTGCATGCCTAATAGATTGTTGTAACTGTCGTAACTGGCATTTGTCACTATTATTATGTTCACATCCACTGTGCTGTTATAGACATCGTCATCCTTTTCGAGATAAGCTAATAATTCATGTGGAGCAAGTCCCCTAAAATAAAAAAGGCTTTTATAAATTATCGCTATACTTCTATTGTCCTCTTAAATGAAGATCGTCGTTTAAATATTGCAGGCATTATTATTGAAGCAGCTAACTAAAAATGTAGGGAGCTCAGTATTCCAAAAATAAAGCGTAAAAAGCGATTATCACCCAACTACTTTTTTATTATTTGGTTGAAACTGAGTTAGAAGTTATTCTGTTAATATTAATCCATTCGCTGTACTTTTAGTGATGATATTTTCTGAATTTCCTAAAATTATAATTTATGCGTTTCGGGTTCCGAGAAATCTTGCTCGTCAAAAAATCAGCTCAAGGTCTTAGTTCAAGGAGCTTTCAATTATTGTAATTGAACGTTTAAGGCGGTAAAATATCTCTAAATCTCTCAATTGACGTTACAGGCATAACCATTTTATCAGCCGCGACAGCAATAATTTGTCCATTAGAACTATGTAAATAAATGACGTTAACGTAAGGACGAGGAATAAAAACAGTGCATAGTGGAGGATGTAAGAAGTAAATGATATTTTCTATTTCAGCTTGAAAAATGCAGACCAAAGACGTTTACGTCAGGGTGACGTGCCTTCTGATAGGCGTGACGTTGTCGATATACGAATCCAATATGACATTTCCGAACAAATTTCAAGAGTTTTGCGCGTCTGCAATATGCGTATTTTGTTACGTTAAAACACTTCGGCTGTTTACGGGTGAGTGAGCATCTTAATTATCTTAATTTGATTTGACAACCTCGTGTGAGCTAATTAGATCTCACCAGAATAATAATTAGGTTAATCGACTTCGAAAAATTAGAGAGAGAAATTAGAAATTTATTTTTATAAATCACCCAGGCATAATTAAACGTTTGTGTTATTTTTTAGCACAGGAAATACAATATCCAGATTACTTAAAGATAACTCCTAGCAATTAAATATCCAATGAATTTCAAGTATCAATAGATAGAGTACCCGTATCTCAGTGTATATAGAGTGTTTCCTAACCTCTCTATAACATTTTTTGGAATGTAACTTGATTTTTGAAGGGCAGGGGGTTGAAAAAATTAAATTTAAAACGATATTCTAGCGATAATTCGTACACGTAATAAGGAGTTTTAGTATTTTACTTTGTGTCTATTTTAAACTTTCCAGTTCAGTTTCGTAAAGATTCAGCATTGCTTTTCTTTTCAAAATTAGGTCCGCACATTATCCTCTTTCTTTTTGTCCAATAGGTTTGGTTAAACTTTCCAGTTCAGTTTCGTAAAGATAAACCATACTGGCCCGTTCAGCATTGCTTTTCTTCTCAAAATTAGGTCCGCACATTATCCTCTTTCTTTTTGTCCAAGAGGTTTGGTAATACCCTGTATAGCTTTTACGCCAGTAAACGGAACTCAAGGCTCTAGCTAAATGATTATTATGACGTTATCCATTATTGTATTCGAATTTACTATAGAATAATCAATTTACTTCACCTGTACTTTACTAAAATTTCATTTTACATTCCTTCTTACTTTTTTTCAGGACTGCTGACAAAAACCGAAGACTGGACCAAACAAATATTCGATGTCATTTGCATGGTAGTGCAGTTTATATCGCTGGTCATTTTAAATATCTGTTTCGGTGTAGTGATCCTCTTTCTTATATTGAATCATTTCTTACAACAATTTAACGTCTGCCCGCCGAAATACGTGGCAATGGCGGCTTTTTAATTTCGAATATTTTTGCACGATGCCACTGACAAGGCCGCTACTTGTTAAAGTACAAAAAGCACACAAGACTGATTAATAATTTACTTCGTACATAACTTGCATTAAATTATTCTAGATATATTATTGGCGTTTCATTTTCAACGGCACCGTATATTTTTACGGCGGACAGAAAACGATATTTGCGTAATTCTCGGAAACAACTTCAGCTACACAAATTGTTCCATGTTTTACATTCGTTGCTACATACGTACAAGGCAAGCGGCTAAGGTCAACGATTATTGCTCCTAAAATTTTTTCCACACGGCAATTCAAATTTTCATGGCGACCGACATTATGCAATATTCGTTTTGGCCAAACGGTGAGTTTAACATTCATCCAATTCTTAGGTGTATCAAAGTCAGGTAAAGACGAAGCAGCGTAAAAGCTCCACCAATTCTTAATGTAAACATTAGAGTTAGGAGTTCTACTGCTCTTTAGTGGCAGAAAGCGACGCATGCAGAATGAACAATAAAATAATAAATAACTTTTATTAATTATAAAAACTATTAAACCCAAACAGCACTACAACATAATATCTCATATTAGCAAAATCATGTTAAAAAATTGAAAAATGGAAACACTTCAGCTTCTCTTCAGTCTTACGAATTCTTTTACTTTTCTAATTAAATATCGATTATGATGGACCAGAAATAATAGCTATTGGGAAAGATATACGGGTTGTAATTGTATTACATGTGAATGAGCTTTGAAATTTAGCTGCACTAGTGTCTCGTGCAGATATTGAGGCTGCGAACGCCTAACCACTTTACAATGAAAGAAGAGAAACGCACAAAATATCTGAGCCACCTGGAGCTCTGCAAAACCTGCATTATTTGGACTTGTAACTGTACGTCAGGTAGACATTATGCAACTTTTGCAAAGTGTATCAACAACCGACCCACAGGGAATTCCGAAGATCTGTAAATAATCTTTTTGTTCTTTGGAAGTTTCTTGTCTCATTCTCATACTCTAAGAATCGATTGGAATCGACTTAAAGCAATCGCACAGGATATTGAGTTGGAAAAAACGGTCTGGAAATATTTTCAACCTGCACGTCGCTGTAATAAAATCTGGGGTCGGTAAATAATTTTTTTCCCATAAGCATTCTCGAGGTCTGTAGACCCTTAACGAAATGCTTGCTTTATATATCCCTGTCACCGCCGCAAGCTGTTTAAAGTACCCGCACGGTAGGGAGTTTCGTAATCATTTTCATATTATCCGGTTTGGCAGATACATTTTTCTTCTACAAGGATTTTTTGAACTGGCACGCTTTTTGGGTAACTTAAGAAGATTGTTGCTCTTTTAATTGAAATTTTTGAATTTTATTTGAAATGCAACGGCATTGTAACTTCATTTTAGTAAGAATCGAGATGTGTTTACCTTTATAGTCTCATGGCCTATAAAGCTTGTCGTTTTTCTTTCTACTGAAGTTAAGTTTGTTCTGGAGCTACTCAACAATCTTTTTTGACCAAGTATATTTTATTAAATTTAAATTTAACACGAGAAACAGTACCCTTTTTAGAGCAAGACGAGTCTGACAAAAGTTGAAGATTCCCATAATAAATAGTATACTCTTGTGGGTGTTTACATAGTTCTCAAAATTATACTTGCAAAACTTGTTCTTCAATCAATTTATATGTGCTCGAAATAGGTTCAGTTTTCGTTGTTTTTGTAAGGCTTAAACGGAAAGCCTTCGAATGATGGAATCAATTGACTGTGAATGAACTAACTAAAATTAATCATCAGATATTTGCAATCACTGGGAATACAAAACTCTATAAGGACACGCGAAGCTGTGTATAGGTAGATGTAAGTAATAGACTATTTAGGCTAAAATTTCGACATCTAACACTAAATTTTAAAATATCGTGTTTTAAGTAGAAAGTTTACATCTAAAGTTAAATACCTGTGTGTTGGCGGTCGATATCTTGGAAACAGCTTTCGATAGGAAAAAAAAATTTGAAAGTTGCATAGGGTCAAGGTGGTAACAATGGTTAGGACGTGCACAATGGATCACACGCTATTCCTGCGAAAGGGACAGAGATATCTGCTTTCTCTCTCACTCGTTACTTCTATTCGGCAACGGAACTCGTTCGAACTATTTGGTGTGCGTCGTTGGCCAGGCTGATTTGTGCTGATCATTGTTTTTGGTTCTTGGTTGCAAAAATAAGAATTAGAAGGTAAGACTTGAACCTTTCTATCATGTATTTTCATATCTATAACTTAGTGCTGGTATACGTGCCTTAAAATGTACTTAATTAGGCTTATTTTCCTGCAGAAACTTTTGATTAGTATGTTTAATTTACGGCTGGGTACAATTTTTAAATATTAATGGCGTCCTAGTACACAATGGCTCAGTCCTCGTAAGTACACAATGAGAATGAGAGTTGGTCGTCAATTAATTTTTGAGTTTTAGATGTTTTTTTTTTCACGCAGTGTTTGTTTCCAGAATGCCACGTGGGGTGATAGCCTCCGCAAAGTGTCTGGAACAACTGGAATTCCGTTTACAACATTAAGACGGTATTATTTTAATTCAAAAGCACAGGGCACATAAATAAATAAATAAATTTCGGGTTCCCAATGTGCCTGACATATCTTTCGTGAAAGAAGATGACGTCAAATTGATATTACCAAAGCCAATTTGTAGTGGCAGTACCTCAAGACAGCAGTCTTTCTATAGTTTCCCATTAGATTTATCTGCTCTCAACGTTAATTTAGTCATTTTTTAATTCTGTTTGTTTGTTTATTACTATGATCTCTAATATCAGAAGTTATGTTTATGTCGATTGTTATTGCGCCTAGATGTAAGAAATCAACAATATTTTCAATTTTAATTTAAGTTTCGTTGTGTTCTTTTTTTCTAGTCCTTAGGTCAGATAGTTTAGTTACTGGTTATGACCTACAGAATCAAGAAGCTGTCATTTATGTTTTGTTCAAGTTTAGTCGTTATCAAAGTGATATGTGTTTAGTTATTACTAAAAGAGTGAGTTATCATTTACCTATTCGTACTTGACTTATTAGTACCTAGTCTCAAACTAACCAATTACTTATATACCTGAATTTGTTCTATTTTTATAAATATAAATAAAAAGTTATATCCATTTTAGTATGTCCATTCTTTAATACTTATAAAAATAATTATCCATTGTGTACTCCAGTGATCCATTGTTTACTTAGAGGTGAGCCATTGTACCCTAACCTTAGTACACAATGGATCATTTGCAAACTTAAAAAAAAATGGTCGTCATGATGCAACCAACCTATTATGTCCAAAAGTAATCATGTGTAATTAAAGTAGTGGAGCCATAGTTTGTTGAAAATAAAATGAAAAGTTATAACTTTCATAACTTTTTTGCTACAGCGTGTCAAACAAAAGTTGATCCATTGTTGCCACCTTGACCCTATATTAGTAAAGTGCATAACTTAAATTATTTGCATGCCCCAAGTAGAGTTGCTATTCATTTATAACATGTTTTGTAACGCATATCGAGTAGTTAAAAATGAATTATATTGTTACTTGGAAAAATGTTGTGCGAAATTTACTTTTTGTTGGAGAATTGAAATTGCCGGTTTCAGAAACTCCTGGTGATGAGAGAGAATGCGACAAATTGAAATTAATGAAATAATCCATAACAAGCACCAAATAAAACACAAAATTTAAGGGTAATATTTTGAGTTAAAGCAGGAACTCTCCAATTTGCAATTTATAAGGTTGGAAATTTACCCTAAAATTTTTAGTTATAATAAATTTTATTTTATTTCTTATAACAAATTTTAAGGTGAAATTGCGAGTTGAAACGTGAAATTTTGGAATTTTGATATAAAACATGAAGTTTTGAATTAAAATTTCGAGTTAAATCACGAAATTTTAAGTTTGCGTATTTAATTTGATGTGCTTTTTTTGTTTTTCTAATTACGCAAAATCCGCACGTTGTTAGATCAGTCCCGACAAGAACCAGAAGAAATCTTGTAAATTACCTGCCCGAACTTGCAGACTCCTTTGTAGCAGTGAAACCGAATAAAACTCAGGAAAATAAATTGATATCGATTTAAGAACATATGGCATTTCTTTTAGCGCCAATAAATAAAACAACAGGGTCTTAATAAATCCATTTATTAAAGATTTTTTACAACTTATTTCCAAAATCGACACCCTATGAATTTAATATGTACACTTCGTAATATATATACTCTCTTCCCAAACAAATTATATCACATCGATCGGAGGAAAATAGAAATTAACGCATAACCACTCCTAACACTCGTCTCCCTATCACCGAATTTGATGTATAACAACAAACAACGTTGTGTACGTTGTGGCAAAATTCGCCTGGAGCAGCGGACCGCCAAAGCTGCGACTCGCCGGCGCGTAAAACTCCACTGAAAAAGAAAGAAAAAAAAATACCACACAGGTCTGGTGTTTGTTTAAAATGCACGTGGATAACTGACGCTTGTTTTCGCTACAGATCGTCTGACAGCAAAACAAACACAAAATAGGAAACGTGGAATATTTAAAGTGTCCGTACAACGATTACAACAAAAATTATTCCATAAAATGTCCATCTAAAACCTTAATTTTTTAACAGTGTTTATTTTTCTTCGATTTTCTATTTAAGGTTATTGAAACTTGTCGGCAAAATTTCCTTAAGTTACAGGATATACTAAATGGCGTTGTAGTGGGAAATTTCGTCCAAAAATTATGAAAAAATTTAAAATAAACTATGATAAAAAATGCGTATTAATAAATTGAAATTTGGTGTATATGTGGAAACTTCAAAAACGCAATAAGAGACTTTAGAACTGATCTATTTGGATGGAATATTATAAAATATCTCTATGCACAGCATTGCAGGCCACAGTTGTTGATTTATTTCAAGTTTACGGTACTAATTCAGTTTGATTACAAAAAAGTTTGCAACAATTACATTACAAAATTTTTTCGTCCATCTGAAACATCAACTTGTTACTGTGTTAATTTTTTTTCGATTTTTTATTTTTATATATTGTATTCTACTTGTTAAGATATATCGTCGTCTGTACTTGTTACTCGGGCCAAACTCAGGCAGGCCTGGAATAAATCAGAAGAAACGAGAAAAGAAGCTACCTACAACGATTAAAAAATTTCAAGTACTTCAAATGGATCAAACGGGTTTAACCTACGCGAAAACTAAATTGAATAACAGGTTTGGTTAGTTTTTTTTTTTAATTTTCCCTCTAACAGACGAGCCCGTCAAAGACGAATCCCTGCTTGTCTGTCTGTCATAAATATTCATTCATTCATACATTTTCTCAAATCGCTCGTCAGGTTTTACAAAGAATGCCTAATTCTATACTTTACCGATAACTCGTGGTCCAGATTTTAATTTAAAATGACTAAAAATGTGATTGAATTGAATTGAATTCAAAATATGGTAATTTTTTTTTACAATTTTTCTGATTTATCCCCAATAGTTTTAAATAATAAATTGAGAACTCCATTAAATATCAGATACACCAACATCTATCTGAAGGTGACTTTCGAAGGAAAATGGACTTTTTTAACTGGTACAATGAAAAACAGGTCATCTTTCCTTTAAATCAGGAACAATTTACATTTAATAAGAAGTTTCGAGTAAATGTTCGGTTGGAGTTCTGGGCGATCACTTTATTGCATGATTTTTTTTTCGAGAGCCGTTAAACTCTCAAAGGTATCTGGAATGAATTACTTTTAACAATATGGCGCTCCCGCTCATAATTCCAGTATATTTTTTAGATATCTAGATCTAGGCGAAAACTGAATCAGAAAACAGATCATCTGACCTGACACCATTAGACTTTTCTAAAATTAAATTAAATTAAAATAACGAGGGCACAAGAGCAATCATTCCAATAAAACAGAAAATTTTTTTTGCTCGAATTCGAATAAAGTCTTTTGTGTTTAAATGGAATCAAATATATATTCTAAATTGATGACAGAATAATTAAAATAGGACTTTTATGGTTTTTTTCTTGAATTTTTTTGAAGAAAACTACTACTAAATTCTATTTTCAGTGTACTCTCGGTAAAAGCGAAAGCAAATTTTTTGTTCCCCTCTTATCAAATGATTTTCTATAAAAAAACCCTATATGGGAATATAACATATTGAAATTTTGGAGCACTGTTATCCGCAAAATACGATTATGTAAAAATATACAGGGTGAATTATTTAAAATAAGAAGGCTAAACTTACTTTCGGTAAAACCAGAAGTGTTATTCACTTGTTTTATAGGTCAAAATGATACTTATTTTTATACCATCTCCAAATTTCGAATTTATTCTTTTTTTTTAAGAGTTATCGCTTGGTTAGTAATTTCATTGACATCAGGTATAGGAAGAAGCTTCAAAAACGTAATCAGAACTAGCCATATTGGGGGTTATCGATTGTGAAAAAAGCATGTGTATGGTATCTTTCATCGTTGTTAACTTATGTGAAGCATTTGATCTGCTGCCCTTTTTAGATTCCACTAAAGGTTTTGGGCAGACTTAACGGGACTCTTTTTAGTATCAATACTTTTTAGTATTTTTCCAAAGCGTAGGATCTTTCCTCGAGATGGTGGAATAACCATGAAACAAAATTGTTTTTAGTAGAAGGAAAACAGATATTTTGCTCGAAAAAAAAATAACAATCCAATTTTGCAGCAGTAGTCGAAACAGCGAAATCTTTTATCGCGGATTATCTTAGCTAATTGCATTAAAACTTTTTAATTTAAACTTCAAAGTCTTCTTTCCGTTTTCAATTCCACAGTCCCTTGTCTCATTTGTAGCTTGCCCTCAATCCGATTTTTATGTGCCACTCCCACTTAGCTAGTTAGGATTTGTCGCTTCTAGAGACTGGCGCGTATTTGCAACATTACGGAGCAATGAAAAAGTTGGAGAAATTTAGCGGAAGCTAAACTCCTTTGCTACTATTAAAAGTAGGACCCCGATCATTAATAATTTTGTTTTTAATCCTCCCATGGCCGAGAGTAGAGCTTTTAATTCGTTCACGCGAGCTCATTTCTAAAATACGTCGCTTTATATGAATGAGAGCTGAGATGCTAGATTAGAATAGTATGTGTTTTTAATAAATATTAAAAGCGTCTCAAAGACCACTATAAAATATTTTTGATGTTTATAGGCAAAGGAAACATTTACAGTTGAAGCTTGGAATTTGTTCGTTAACAAATAGTATTCAAAAGAAATATTTTTAGTAGATCATACTCTAAATTAAAAAAAAAAAATTAATATAAAATTCATTTTGATAAAAGCAATTGCATACTCCTGCAATCTAACCAAAATCTCATTTCCATATTTATTCGAATATTATCCCTTGTTCCATTTCATGCTCGATATTCTTGGAATTCGCTCCCTAATTATATCCCGAAATATTTGCATTTATTCGAACTAGGGATTTGAGATTTTGTAATTCGCTTTGGTGATTAGGTTTCTACGGCATATTCTCTAATTCGTAGAACCTCTGTTGCGAGTGGCGAGGGTAAGTAAAAAAAATGTTTCTGGCGCCCAAAGATAACTAGTACACTTGTTCGAAGCATCATTTAAGAACAGATGTTTCCTTTTTCATTGAAACTATGGGATAGGGCTAAATGGTGGGAGATACAAAAAACTGAGCTGTGCTTCCCGTTCTCTTTTATAGTGTTTTGCCCAATCACGTCTGCGCTAACTAAATTGTGCTAGAAGATGTAGAAAATGTACCGGTTTCTACTATTCCATACCACAAGATATTTTTAATTTTCTAAATATTATCAAAGCGAAAGTTTTTTTAAGTGGGACACCATGCATCTGCATCTTTGAACAGTGTTTTAAAATATTGATTAATTTAAACAGAAACTACAAAAAATAAACAAAAAGTTACAACGACAATAACAACCCAATAATGATATCATACATTGTAATAAAACCACTAGCAAATGTGGTCAAATTACCTTCTATTTTGCTCTACAATTAGCTTAAAATTAGACAATTTGGTACCGCTCTAATGCACTTAATAAAATTGATTTTTTTAAGTTTTACATTAATGTTTCAACTTTTATATATTTAATTCATACCAAATACATGAAAAATAAAGGTCGAAAGACGTTCAGTCCAGGGAACGTGTAGGTCATCTGTTTGGTAGATTAATTTGGGCCAAAATTCAATGGCTACTAATGGTAGGTTATCCACCTTTGTTATTAGATATTCTTCCACAATTTGTATGTAATGTTTAAAATTTTAAAAAAATCTTTAGTTAGTTAGTTAGTCTTTTGATGTACCGGCCTTATATCCTGGCGACTCTCTGATGAGGATTTATGTTTGGCGGATATCGATTGTTGTCTCGTTTAAAATTGCTTCCTAGATATAAATATTTCGTCAGCCGATATTACATTTTAAAAGAATGCATGAAATCATTAGTGAGTTAATATTATAAGCTTTTATGTTTTTGTAGTGTTGTTCTTGTTGTTTCAGTTTCTGAGTTATAGGTTAGGTTTTTAATATGTCTTTTAAAAAATAAAGGACTAATATAGGCAACTAAAAAAATGTTTTCAAGTATTTAAGCTACTTAGAGCGGATTAAAATATTTAAATAAATGTTAGTTTCGCTAATATCTAGAAAATTAATAGATCCATATTTTTTTTAATGCTCCACTGGATTCTACTTAAAAAGCTATAGTCATAGTAATAGTCATAATGTCTTTTTTTATCTATAAAAGGAAATAAAAAACGGAATGTTTTTAAGAGTACCCTGTATCTTCTAATTCAATTTAGTTATCGCAGATCTGATTCCTCCATTAAACAAAGCAAAAATAAAACGTGACAAATCTCAGTTTTCTATGGAATTCATCATCTAGCCTATTATTTTCTACAATATGAGAATAGTTTACAATAGTTTCTTGTTATTTCTAAAACTTCTCAATTATATGGTTTCAGTGTACCCAGGGTGTTTAGTGTCTCTGGCCAAGTGCAAACTTCATAGGAGAGGCGCTTTTCTTCATTTCTTCACACAAACGGAAACTACCATAGCTAGAGTATTTTAAGTACCTTTCAAATTCTATATTTGATTAATTAAAGATTAAAGTTCATGATTTAAACCTAAGACACAATTTTCACGATATTCAATATTAAACATAATAAAAAAACAATGATAAACATAACATTTCAAAATGCGTAATATAAATATAAAACACATATTTTTCATAAAATTTCACAAGTTTTTACTTAAATGTAGATAAGAAGAATGATAATGCCGTTCAATTAAAAAAAATCGAGGAATGTGTTTTTATAATAGTAATACCGTAATATTTTATTGTTCAATCTATTTTCGCTTTTAAGGGACATAACAACTTACCCTTTTTTTTAAACAACGAATCTCCACTTAGGTTTTTATTACTTGTTTTGTGACATCGCGTATATAATACGTATTTAACAAATGTGAGAAGCTTACAAGTCACAAAATGTGGCAACATTGTAGCATGTTCATAAAATGAAAATTTGTTTTCTTAGTATAAATTAACAAGACTAAAGTTTCATCCCTTATTTGGTTTACATCAAAATTGAAAAGTACTCCAGCTGTGAGTTTTCATTTGTGTCAAAAAAGTTTGCGGTTCGCTTAAAAAATTAAACCATATTCTTGAAAGTTTAAGTCAATACAAGAATTTTTTATGTTAAATTCTTCTTTATAGATTTTACCTTTTCTCAGATCGGATAGTTGACCACGATGTACGTGAAGCGTCTATATTTTTTAGAAAGGTATTGACGCAATTAAAATCAAATTAGAAAACACTTTTGATATACATATTAAGTAAATTGTGCTTGAATCATTTTCGGAACAAACAAAATCACAAAAGCATTTTGAATGCAAACTTTCTGTTCCGCACTTGTTAATTTGAAAACCGTAGCAGCGAAAAACAATAGCCAACATACTTGCGTTAGTATATATTTTAACTAACCCCATCGTTTCATATAAACTGGCCCTATTTTAACGAATGTTTACTCACCTGTAGCCTGAGGGGGACGCTCCGCTGGCATTTCCCACTGTTCAAACGGCGGCTCTATCGTTGTGGGAGTCTCTAGCCAAACATAGGGTGACCTGAGGATTAAAAGTTAATAGAGGCTCTATGTTTAATTTACAAAGGGGCAGACTTATTTTCAAAGCAGCTCACGAAACTCCTATTATACAATTTTTTTTGAGAACCATTCTGAGTGGTCCATTCGGAACAGGTGATTTAGGAAATTGAATATGTTAAAAAAAAATTAAATCCAGTTAATTAAATTATTTCTACAAAGAGCGAAAAACCCCTTCGGTATTAGAAAACCTTCAAGCATAAGAGGGAAGCTGTTTCAATATTTGTAGAATTTAAATTTAATATATGAGTTCAATTTTTTATTTATTCATTTTTTTTAAAAAAAAAAACGAGTATCGATAGACATGATTTATCTAATTATAAAGTTATCTTTGTATTTTATAAAGAATAATAAAATGCTAATTTGGTAGAAGCAATGGTGGTTGCAGTTCAAGATTGTTCCGTCCTGAACAATTTAATTTCAAACCTTTTAAATGTTACATAAACTGTTTTTTTGGTAAATTGTAATTAGATATGCTTGAAAGGAAAGGAAATCAATAATCAAACCTCCTGAGTGTTCTCGAAAAGACCGGAGCAGTACATAAGCGTGAGCATTATGAGTAAATAAGAGTGTTATTTTTAATCTCCCATTTAAATATCATGGAACTTGCACAACTGAAATATAAAAAATTAAATAATAAATTGAAATTGGAATATATGATCACAAACAACACATGATGTTTACTCGTCCATTTAATTTAATATTTAGTTGTAAGGGGATTTTCAATTAGGGCAGGTAGATGTAAGTATTATCAAAATTATTTTCTTTTTTTAAAGGCCCATTTATGCCACTAAGGGTGAAATATGAAATCATTCGAATTCCCCCATCGGCTTCTTACATTGGCTCAGATCCGAATGTATGAATTTTCAGTGCCTCTTCCGCATAGATCCGTCTGAATTTAATCGATGTACTGTCTTACGTTCATCTTTAGGGTAGCGGCCGATTGTGGTTTATTTGCATAGGTCTAAGACTTCAAGAAATCCCGCAAGGAAACGCTTATCGGGGTTAAATCGCATTACCTTTGTGATCAGTTCAAATCACCACTGCGAGAGACAACCTTATCTTCGGATCGTTCATTCGAACTGTCAATTATGTCATTGGCTGTGTGGCGTAACGCCGCTTTGCTGGAACAGATTGTTATTATAACGGTCAAATTTTTGAACACACGTCGGGAATAGCTATGGTTATCCACTATCGCCAGACTTAGCGAATATATTTATGGAAGCCTTAGAGAAGAAAGTTTTCGACACCTTCCATGTAACACCAAAATTATTTAAACGCTACGTCGATGATGCATTTGCTATTTGGCCTCATGTTCAAGAATCCCTAGTAGATTTTCTTTGACATTTAAACTATATACACCCTAACATACGGTTTACCATTGAATTAGAAACTAATAACTGTTCGTGCGATAGTTCAATGAATGCAATAGTTCAGAAACTAAGGATTTATTCCGTAACGATTTTAAATAAATACAATGCCGACTATCGTCGCTTGTCTGAAGACCGAGGGCTCGCGCATCGATACGTGGTGACTGCTAAGGATAGACTAAATCCTAGAAGTTTCTACGGCAGGAATGTTAATATACTACGTTGCTATGTCTAACAGAATAATAACAACCTCTCATTCTTAGATAATCCTACTAATAGAAAATAAGACCTAACACTTGGTCATTGTGTTTACAGAAAACCTACGCACACAGACCGATACCTTAATGCATTGTTACATCACCATCCGCCCCAAAAAGCATCGGTTATCAACTCTCTTGTTTACAGAGCCGTATAACTATCTCCGCCCGAGTCACCGAACCCAAAATTAAAACACGTTACCTTTCCTCTTCTCCCTAATAACTTCCACATTAAAGATTTTAAGCCTTCCATCACAAAATACACTTCACCACAACCTTCCCATAACAATGAAGTCGAAAGCAATCCCACACTTGCCACTGTTGTTCTTCCGTACATTCAAAACATCACTGAGCACATACCAAATCTTCTAAAGAAATATACCGTCAAAACCAGATTTACAACTTGTCCAAAAATCTCTTAACATCTTCGATCCATCAGAGACAAAATTCCATTGGAAATCTATATGCAACCTGAGAATCTTAACCGCGACCCAGTTCTTTACCTGTCACCAATATGGGAATCAGTCACCCTACACGATGTTTATGCCCCTTATTTAGCTCCGCCCCCTCAAACAATATATAAGCAGGTAAAGAATAAAATGCGAGCCAGTTTCGGCCAAGCTCTGAAGAATCCAACAGGATGATTGGCGAAACGTTAGCAAGTTCGAGTCAAGAAAAACCGACGCAGGAGGAATCCAGAAGTTTTATAAAAAGTATTACATTAGCCTGCCTAAATTTCTTTAAAAAACAATTAACATTTATCAGCACAGTCAAATACTCACTTTTCTTTTGATGCATTATAACCCCTCATAATAACACTTTCTTTTTGCATAATACTGGACACCTTATTTAAATACACAGTGAGATTTTCAACGCTTGCTTCAGGAGGTGCGCAACGCAACTTAAGATAGATGCGGATAATGTTCGCATATGCGTCGTAGCTCCAATTAAACTGTTCCACAGAGTCAATTTTTTAAGCCACAGCTATAAGTTGGATCTCTTAAAGGTATAGTCCTAGCAAAATTCGCCAAATGGTTCTTCTGCATAGCGAGGAATAGACAACCTCGGGTTCCTTAAACATACGGGTGTTGGCTGATTGATTACAGAATCGTTCATCTAAAAGTTGGTCACCAATCGTTGAAGAGTTGACTGTGATGTGCCAAAATTTTATTATATGAGCGGGCTGTTCAGCAGTATAGCTTGCGATGATGCCTTAGCATAGGTAATAATAAACAGAAGATTTTAAAGACGGGACCAAAACAAAAACTACCCCCTCCAATTGAAAGACGCTTTACTTGGCCGAAAATTTTTATTTTACCTGTGTCGTTTCCTCTGCAACTCGATACTTTTTTCGGAACTCCGGTGGTATAGATGGTACATGGTAGCCGAACAACGAAGTTTAAGTTTGCCGTTGTTGAAGAGATCCGTGGTGACTCTCAATCTCACCGTCGACTTGGCCCTGCAAAGAAAACATATTTTTTCATTTTCTAAAAATCACATGAAAGTAATAAAACATGCGACCTATCCTACTTTCCGACGGAGGGAATTTGCTCGACGTCCCGACGAACGATATTTCGATAGAGACACTCCACTCAAGCAAAAATGGGGGACCGTGAAAGCGGAAAAGTGAATAGGGTAAATCCCCATTCGTAACCCCCCACCCCCAACTGTAATACTAACAAGATTCGATTCTTTTTTTTCCGGACTTCCGATCTGGCACACAGGTTTACCAGAGGATACTTATTGATTGGTGGTCCATTAACTGCAAATCCCACTTTGATATCATTATTTAGTAAAACAAGCCCCAACGACTATTTTGTAATGTGAAAAAGTGGCTATCCATTTTTGGAATCAGTATTTGCTTCGGCCCGTTAAAGAGTGGTATATGCAACAAGTTATATAAATGAAAAATCTACATCCGCGAAAAATAAAATGAATGAAAAGTTCTTTTGAAATATTTTTCATACCAAGCACTCCACATTCCTGAAACAAGTTTAATAGACGCTACTTTGGTCACGAGCGAAACGAGTCTAAATATATCTACGTGTTGCATATTATAGTTTTTCTAAGATTAGTATTTGCATGACCCATATACTTTTCTCAAAGCTAGGTTACCAAGAAATTTTAAATCCCAAAGTTCTATGTATTTAAGGGAATTTTTTGATCATTCACTTATGTGATAAAAGCAAACGTAACTTTCATCAGCACCGGTCTATTTCATTTTTGCATGGTTTAGGAAGTATCTAGATTCAAAAATCAGCATATTAAGAAAGACTGGTTAGTGCTATTTGCAGAAGGAATATATTAGGTCCAATGAATTGTTCTTTATTATACGCTACGCTTATACTTTTTTTACAGCATGAGTTTTGAAATCTTTTTTTAATGGTACACCCTGCTATTATACCTTTGGGGAAAGAACAGAAAACAAACTACATCATACAGTTATTTTAATTTGATAAAATTTCTTTAATTTCTACAAATTCGTTCTTTAAATCTTTCTAGATGTAAAATAAAAAAAAAAGTCAAATAATTGTACTATATATAGATATGCAAGATGCATTGTGCGTATTCTACTAAAGAGAATACAAGGTGTACCATATTTACAAATTTTGAAACTCATAAGATATAAGACACCCGGTATAAAGCCAGATCCGAAAATCACCAAAAGTCATTAAACCTAAGTTTTGTGTGAGAGTATTCCATTTGTAAATTAACTAATTAGCCTAATTTCGAGGCGTTTCTTCATATGCTGATTTTTCAATAACAAATCACTTAATATTTCATACACCGTACGGAAATCAAATGGATCAGTCTGATTAAAATTACCTTTGGGGCATCCTATATATCTTAAAAGTGAATAAGAATTCCCTTAAATACAAAGAACTTAGTAGTATTTTAAATTTCTTGGTAACTACTACAGGTTTTGAGTAATAGAATAATTTCACTGACTGATCATAAGAAGTGACAAACTATACTATAACTTAAATCTACCGGAAACATCCGATCACTCCCAAATCCGTGACTAAAATACCACACGTGACTCGTAAGGTAACGTAAGCTGACGTCTTACAGTGACACTTTCCACACGCTACAAAAGTAGAAACACTAATTTAAGCGCCACAAATCAATATAAATCAACGCACCAATATCATTGGAACATAACTGATTCTCTTTAATAGGTTTTTTTTGCCTTTCTTGAAAATTCATCTTCATGTTACTTCAATGGTTATTAACAGGTTATAACCCAATTTTTGTGACGTTATTTTGAATCCAAATTGCATATTTCTGTTGCTTTGTTTTGGTTAGTATTATTTTTTTTATTGTGTTCGTGGCAATGCAAAATGTAATTGATATAGTCTTGAGATGCATAAAGGTATTTGACGTGAATAGAAGTATTTTTAATGATCAACCATCCAATGAAGTTCCGGGAAGAGCTCATTTTATTAAAGAAAACAATGAACCCGTTTTCATTTTCTTTAAGGCATAATTTAATTATGAGCGATCTCCTTAGGGATCCGTAGTAAAAGTTTGCCCTGTTATGGAGCCTAACATGTTCCCGAAACATGCTCTTTTGGGAAACGTCTGCGACAAAGATTTCAACCCTAACGTGGGAGAGACCCAGAAGCAATGTACCCTCAAATTCCCCAGACTGCGGAAATTTCTTCGAAAAATTTCGCATATTCATAGGATTTCAAAAGCGATTTAAGCCTAGAATCACTAGGTTGCTAATATTTTGAATTTAAAAATTGAAAAAGAACAACAACACTTCTTTGATTGTTAACAATCAATTGTTGTCCATGCATGGACATCAATTTATTTCTAAATATATAACCCAAGATATTTTCTCTTTTTCTGCGGCCGTCGCATGTTTGTATAACAGAACGAATATATTCACTGATTGATATGATAAAATAAATTAGACAGAACCATAAGAATTTACAAACTAACTAAAACTAACCGAATCATCCGATCGAAATTTATCGGTTTTCAACAACTTCCTTCTTTAACGATGGTTTGTTTTGGTCGAAATTTTTAAAAGAATATATTAGTTAGAAGTTTTCTATGGTGACGAACTATGAACATTTCATATATTGACATTAGCATTAGTGCATGTGTGAAATTATTCTGCTGTAAAAAGATTGCGTGTTTATAAAAAATTGACTCCAGGAGATTTTGGCCCAATATTATATCATTATGAACATGGGCATTATCAAAACTAACCATTTCGGGTAAAAAATTTTAGTAATAAAGTATAGCTTCCATATTAAAATAAATCGTTCTTACAATCGCTCGACAAACTTATTAAATTCTGTGAACCAGTGACATCATAAATTGCGTAAGACTCCACGGACAATGGATAAACCGTGGCAATAAAGACGTAAGTTACACCTGGCTAAAATTAAGGAAGTAGCGGCAAACAAAGACGTGGTAACTCCATTATTCATTTTAGAGAGAATGGCTCTTCTCTCGGAAAAACAATTGAATGTAATTAATCGCCGCGGAACGCTTCAGTTACTTAAAAAACGTCTGTCTTAAAGAGCTGAGAGAGAATTTTTTCGATTAAGTGTTGCTGCTTACATTGAGGTAAAGGGCTCAGGTCCAATCCCTGAGACACCCAGGATGGAACTTTCAACCATCACAGTTAAAAATATTAAATTTTCGTTACATGTAAATTTTGCAAAATATGAAAACGCAAGTTATGAGAGAATTTTAATTATAATCCCCCGTATTTTATTGTGCCAATAAAAAAAAACGGTTCGTTCGTGATCCAAAAGAATTACAACAGCGGTAGGGGAACGGGGGTAAATTACCCCAAATGGGGTAAAAATGAAATTTTTGGGGGTAAAAATGAAACTTTTGTGAGAAAAAAGTATATATTTTTAATTTCATATTTTTAACCCTGTGTTTTTTTCAACTTATACAATTTAGCGAGATATGCAGGCCACGCCACCTCACTCCCCACCACTAGAGTGTTCTCGAGTTATTTCTTTGAGCAGTAAAGCACAACTCCGGCTACCTGCTCAGTTCGTGCCATGCCGCCAAGAAACAAATACATTGACGAATCAGACAGCGCCTTTTAACTAGTTAGTTGCTGACAAGACCACCATTTTATTATTAATCATCGATATATCGATCAAGGTAAGCCACAATTTCAAAATTTAATTCCAGTATTCAGATGACAGCAAATAGAAAAAGAACATACCGAGACGAATTCTTTAATTAAGGTTTTACACAAATAGAAGACAATGGTACAATGAAACCATAGTGTGTTGCTGACTTCAGAATCTTTCAAAAAAAGTCAATTGAAAAAACATTTAGATAATTTGCATTCACAACTGTCTTCCAAATCGCGAGAATACTTTGCAAATTTAGAAATATCTGTTAAAGGACAAAGATTGGATAGCAAGTTTTTTGGTACATTTGACCAGCGTTCAGCATCAAGGATTTGAAGTAGCCTGGTTGATTGGTCGAAATAAGAGACCATATACTATTGGTGAAGATTTGGTTAAACCACTTGCTGTAAAAATGGCAGAGATTGTGTGTGGTCAAGAAGAAACGAAGAAACTGAATTCAGTGCCCTTGTCTGCGAGAATTGTGAAAGAACGAATTCCTGTATTAGCAGAAAATGTGAAGGAACAGGTTATTTTTGCATTCAAACAGACTAAATATTTTGCTATTCAGCTTGATGAGACAATTGATTTTAGAAGCAATTCACAGCTAATGGTATATGTTTGCTACAACACTTCAATGTTAAAAAATAAAAAAAATACTTCAAGTTTAAAATGGGAAAACTGTATTTCTGTACCTTCAGATGGAGCTCCAGCTATGCTGGGTCATATCAATGGTTTTTCGGATTTCGTAAAAAAAAACAAATATTAAAGTTTCCCACTGTATGATCCATCGCCAGGCCCTTATGGTCAAAAATTTAGAACCTACACTGGAAGCCGGCATGCATCAATGTCATCAAGATCGTAAATTTTTTCAAGGGACATGCACTAAACAAGCGGCTATTTCGTGAATTATGTCAGGACGGTGAAGCTGAATATACGGACCTACTTTATTATACAGAAGTAAGGTGATTCTCGCGCGAAAATATACTAAATCGAGTATGGACACTCAAAACTGAAGTCGAAATTTTTATAGTTGATCAAAAAAATATTCTCTCAGAGAAGTTTATAAACTCTTTCTGCGTTGCATATCTCACAGAATTAGCGGACATTTTTGAGAGTATAAACTTAAACAAAGAATTGCAAGGAAAGAATGTAATATCTTTTCAGCCAGAGAAATAGTGTCAGCGTTTGGATTAAAGCTGCAATATTGGAGACAGAAAGTAGAATAGAACAAAATAGCTTCTTTTTCAAGGTTAGCTTTTTTTTCGAATATTGCGAAAATATTACTTTTGCTAACATCAAGGATACAATTGTAAGACATCTTATCAAACTCAGAAAACGGTTTTCA